CCGTGCAGGTAGAAGCAACGCACGGATTGGACGTCCGCTTTGATGGCGCGCTTGACCCGCATCATCCCCTCCTGGAAAAAAGGGACGACGTTGAGCGGCGGCTTCCTGCCGAAGAAGACCTCGAACGGCGACATCCAGCCCTGATTGGCCTTCGTCGCGGAGCGGCTGAAACAACCGANTCGGCGACGGCGTTCTGTTTGGGGGTGTCGGGCGCGGTGTACTCCCGCCGGATGCCAGCGGCGTCGCAGAACTTGATGAAAGCGGCGCCGGTGAACTCGCCGCCGTTGTCCATGCGAAAACATCCCGGAGTGCCCATGCCGTTCATGTCGGCCAAGAAGGGCTGCACGTACTTCAGGGTGTCGCTCTTCGCCCGGATCCCGTACGCCCGTTGCCACTACGACGCGCTGTCCACGAACATGATGAGATACCGGGAGCCGTCCATCGCCTCGGTGAACGGGCCCGTGAGATCGATGTGGACCTTGCGGAACGGCACCGCCGCGCGTGTCCCACGCCGCGGCACCGGGGCCCTCCTCCCCTTCGCCTCCACACAGCCCACACATGGCTGCAGCTCCACGACCAACCGAACACCTTGCTGCTTGGCAGTTTCACGCATCAAAAATTCATTTACGTGGCCGGTGGAAGCGTGGAACAGATTAATATCGATGTTTGGCGTGGATCTACCGATCGCAAACGGGGAAGCACCGGGGGCGATAATCGCCAACGCGTGGGAAAGAGACGGAGGGGCTGCGGCCTGCTGCTCATTGCACTCGGAAAGAAAACCTCTCAACACCTCCACATCATCATGCTGCACAGTGAAAGCCAGGGGAGGGGGCTCCGCAGACTCAGAGAATTCAGCGCATCCGGAAAAAAATCACCCGGGGGGACCGTGTCTTTGCCATCCATCAACCCAACATCCAGAAACATGCTCATGTCCATGATCGGTAATTCGTCCTGAGAGACAAAGGGGTTGATCTCGATCTCGCGAAAGTCTGTTAGCTCTACGGCAGGGGGAGGCACAATCGGAGACGATTCTACGGCAGCCGTAATCACAGGCTGAAAATCAGGGGTCGTCGTGGATATTGGGTCTCAGTCGACAGACGGAAACGCACAAATCGGCCGCACTACACCGGAAGTGGTGGAGGGGACGCTAGGACACGAAGGTACTACACCGTCGGATCCGGTGGGCTGGACGCCAGAAGTCCAACGTACAACGCCGACCGATGCGACGGACTGGAAGCCGGGAGTCGAAGGTACAACGCCGACAGATGCGACGGACTGGAAGCCAGAAGTCGCACTCGCACTCGAACTCGAACCGTTGCCCGTTCCTGCACTCTGGAAAGGGGGGGGAGTGGCCGCAACAAATCCTGCGCCATTCGTGGACGCTTGCGCAGACAAACAGGGAGGGGCATCGGGGCTGGTGGTCACAGCATTTCCACTGTAATCTTGGGGCAATCTAGTAGCCCAGAGCGAGCATCCCACGTCAGAATACACGAAGGAAAGTTTACCATCAAAGAGATGTACACCTGTCTCGTCTAGGACGATCCGCTGCTTACGCTGCGTGTGGTGCAACAAAAACACTTTGAATGTGATTTCAGGCACAACGTTCCGACATCTGCACGCAAAAATCACGCTCTCCTCCCTGGTCTTGCATGTGGAAGGCCATGTTGACCGTCCCCAAACATGGTACGCGCAAATAAGCACCGTTGCCAACCTGGATGTACTCCTTGCCTGTCGGCACTGGCCTCAAGTCAAACATCTGATGACTACTGCTCACAAAAGTGTTCGTCGCACCGCTGTCGGCCCAAAATTTGTCCCTGCCAAANTCGTGGTGCATCACGTTTGCATGCCCGTGCGGGGGTCGCCATTGCTGCTGCTGCGGGCGAGGGGGGGCTGAGTTTCCATACCTTGGCTGCGCTCCGCGTACGCCGTGAGGTCCGTGCTGGGGTCCACCACCCCAGCCCCCCCAACCGCGGCCGCCTTGTTGCTGCTGCTGCTGCTGCTGTTGAGGACGAGGATGGTAGTACTGCTATTGCTGAGGCTGCTGCGGATGCTGCTGTTGAGGTTGCTGCGGATGTTGTTGCTGCTGCGGTGACTGCTGCCGCCGCTGCTGATGCTGCTGCCTTCGCTCTTTCTTCCGCTGCTGTTGATAGCACTCCGCGTTAGTGTGGGTTCCATACGGATGAAGGTGACAGTGCCGTTCTCCACTGGTCTCGTCGCTCCTGCTCCGACCGTCGCCTTTGCCGTCCTGTCCGCCGCCGATCCCACTCGACCCATTTGGGACACGTCCGTCGCCCCGGGGCCCACCGGAAGCGACGAAGGCGTGCCTCACGCCACTCGTTTGTTCCTCCTCCCGTGCGCGCACCAGGTCCGTGTGGGCCTCCTTCACGGAATCCTCTATCTGCTCGAAAGTCAAATCAGGGGTGCGGTCCAACGGTTTCCTCTCTAATTTGTAGTCGGACGACAGGGCGGACACCAAGTGGTCGTTGGCTTCGTTGTCGGGATACATTGTCCCGTGCAACGCTAGCCTACTCCACAAATACAGAACCTCCCGAAGTATTCTTGTGGGATTTCACCCTCATGCATCGCGAAGCTATGGTACTCCTTCAAGAGTCTCATTTTTTCTGCTTTCGCTTGGGGTTCGTAGTACTTGAGAAAAATCCTCCATCGCCCACTCGGGCTTCCGTCTGACACGATTTCCGACAAGATCGGCATGTATTAGATTGACGTGATGAATAAATTCCACGCCACTACAGCCTTAGCTACCTTTTGATCGCCATACTCAGTCTTCAGGTCTACCATGCTGATTCCTTGTCTCCCTACTGGGATATCCTGGTCGCTCATTACTACCCCGTGAACCTCCTTCTGTGCAATCCGTGCTACCATGCTCGATCTGAAAATCAAAAGCTTCTGTTGCCTATTGTCCCCCTGCTTAAACACTCCATCCCAAGGCTCAGTTCGTCTACTCTCAGTCATTCGGAGTGCTGCAGGATGAGGTACTGCACCGATGTCCCCTGATGAGGTCTGGAGGCGACCGGCCATGGCAGTCGCAATCGCGTCGGCCAGCTCGTCTGCGGAGGGGTTGGGCGATGGGCCCCCAGTTTCTTCTTGCTGGTGTGGTACCCCTTGTTCCTCGTTCCCGCTCCGGAGACCTTCTGAGCTCTTCTGCTCGGCTCGATGCAGCACCTCCATCTCGGCCATCTTCTTGGCCAGTTTCTCCTCCATCATCTGCTCCATCCGAGCTGCTACTCTCTCGTTGACGAGTTCTTCGATCCTGGCGTCCTCCGCTGCTTGGCGGGCCTCCGCTACTTANAGGGGTTGGGCGATGGGCCCCCAGTTTCTTCTTGCTGGTGTGGTACCCCTTGTTCCTCGTTCCCGCTCCGGAGACCTTCTGAGCTCTTCTGCTCGGCTCGATGCAGCACCTCCATCTCGGCCATCTTCTTGGCCAGTTTCTCCTCCATCATCTGCTCCATCCGAGCTGCTACTCTCTCGTTGACGAGTTCTTCGATCCTGGCGTCCTCCGCTGCTTGGCGGGCCTCCGCTACTTAGCGGGCTTCATCTTCGCGCCTGGTAGCCATCTTGACCCTGCTCTCGATCGCCGCAAAGCGATACTCATAAACCAAGCTCGACCGCGAATCTCGTAGACGACGTGTCATACGCTAGCGTGATCGACAATTCGGGTGGCTCAGTTGTGTGTGATAGGAGTGTAGAGCACCTCGGCCATGACGGGCCGTAGGGGTAGGTAAAGTCGTAAAGACGTGTTGAAAAACGTGTTGAATTAATCGGGGCGTGCTCGTGCTCGTCAAATNAGCTCGACCGCGAATCTCGTAGACGACGTGTCATACGCTAGCGTGATCGACAATTCGGGTGGCTCAGTTGTGTGTGATAGGAGTGTAGAGCACCTCGGCCATGACGGGCCGTAGGGGTAGGTAAAGTCGTAAAGACGTGTTGAAAAACGTGTTGAATTAATCGGGGCGTGCTCGTGCTCGTCAAATCATCACGGTATCGAGACACGCCTTCATGCTTTCTCACACAACGAATCTCTCTGAATCCTCACCAAAAGCCTCTCAAAACCATGGAAAATATGAAGAAAGTTCCTGTTCCTCCGCAGCTCATCACTGCAATTTTCGTACGTACGTCCTTAACATCTCAACCGTCATACTATGCTACGAGTACCCCCAATATGTCTAGTAGTACTCCCTAATCTTAAGGTCGAGAAATAGGGTGTCGTTGATTCAGGAGCGCAGCGATGAAACTCGAATCGTAGCGACCCAAATTTGGGGCGTTGGGATTATATTCTTTTTTTCGACGATTTTCCCGTTCGATTCAATTCCAAACGAATCACATCGTTGCTAGAACGATCGTTTTTTCTTTCGGTCTGAGCGGAAACGTCCGCGTGTCGGTTCAGACCGCGATAGATTCCGATGTTACCGAATTGGCATCTGTAGTCTCCAAAAAGATTACATTTATTGTCCGGCCTCTCTCACTGGTCAGTTTGATTACAAGGCGCAGCTCTGAGCACTGAAATCAAGACGACCGCTTTCTGATGACAAATCAATTATCGACTGCTCTACCGCTCTCTCTTCCCGGGTGGAGACGCAAGAGGTACGATAAAGGGATCTCTACTTCAAGAACCCCACACACGCATCCACACACCACAGCAACCGAGGAACCAAGGGCACACGCAATCGTCCAACGAAGCCAAGCCCGTGGCGGAGCCTGCGGCATGGCTCTTCGGGGAAGCAGATGCCCCAGCGGACAAAGCGCGCTGGCAGCGCGAGGAGGAAGACAGGCGCCAGAGGAGGGCACGGACGACTCCCCTTTTCAGGAGACAGGATGACTCGGGAGAGACCCCGGGGGCTCCACAGAAACAGCAGCGTTCCAAGCTAAAGTGGGGGTAACCACAATCCGCGCAAGAGTGTTGGGAGCGCATAAAGGCAACAAGCAACGAACAGCAGCAGCAGCAGCAGCAGTTGCGGTGCTGCAGGTTGAAGTGCGTCGAGCTGTTCGCCAACGGCGGGGGTGGGGTAGGGATGATGACGAGGGCGGCGCCGGCAACAGCAACAACAGCAGCAGCAACAGCAGCAACCAAAACAACAACGACAGCTTTCGCCACGACGAGGATTTCTTGGAACGGGAGCAGGCCATTTTCAAAGGGTTCACGCGAGAGGAAGACCGATAGCGGTTCGTCACCGAGCACGTCCCCGTCGCGAAGCTATTTCAGGGACGCATGATCGCGGCGGGCACCCCTGTGTGCAATCGAGCCTTTTAGGGAGTTCTTTACGGTTTCCGACAGCCTCATATGTTCATGCAAAGGGGCAGAAAAATCTCCGGCGTCTAGATCAGTAACAAGGTTTGTGTGTTTGTGGGCTAGGGTGGTGGGCCTTGTTGGGAAATATATTACTGACAATAAGCAGTACATGTCCCATACAATAGTACTCACAGAATGTGGCGTCTTGCAGCAGCGGAGGTGGCGGTGCCGCTGTAGCTCGTAGACTTTGTAGTCTACCACAGAGGTTACACTGCTGTCACCGCTCT